CACAAAGTAAGCTTTAATGAGTTTGATTTTTTTTTCAGTGTATAGTCAGGTTAAAATAAAAGAGAACAGTCTATCTAGTGTTTTCACTGTTACGATAGAATTTGATACATATTAAGATGAATGTGAATCACTCTCTTATTCAGTTTCTCGGTATAACAGCGTAGTAGTAGTTAAGGAAATATACTCTTTATTGTTATAACAGCGGGATAGTGACATTTAAATTGGAAGAATAGAGAGAAAATACGCTTTAGAAATATTATCGAACGATACTAGTATCTTGGGAAGAGATTAATTTTTCTATAGATTTTATAAAAATAATAGCAATAAACAAAGCCTGACAAACCTAAGTGAGTAGAATGATTTGTGATTCCAATATAGTGCAGTAAGAAAATTTCGGTAAAATGTCTGATCAGCTTCTTATTGAAACCGGTTATTAAAAAGAAATCGTCTACATTTATTGCGAATAGCAGCAATGAATGAGTACCATACTCAGCAATATTTCAGCATAGGATCCCACCTTTTTTTTGGAAAAATGCTTATTGTTACACATAATTCGATGCAACTCAACGAGCTAATTCTGAACATCACTTTCGTTTTGTGCCACAATGCTATAGGAATCGAGAAAACAGGGACTCAGAGGCAGAAGCCTGGATTTCTGGAAAACTTTTAGCACAGCCTCGATTCATCAGCGCGATGTGGCGCTAAGCCCAACGATATACCACATATAGAAGAATAATCGGTGAAAATTTCAGATCAATCGGACTTAATTTCTTTGTAGGGTTTGCAAAATACCGAATGATCAATTTTCAGAACCAGTTTTAGCCTGGTAATCAATATTTTTCTTTTCCAATTTAAGTTCAATCAAAAAGAATTTTTTATCAGAATAGAACCCATAAGACAATCATTCGTTTCTGATAGTTTTCTTTTTTAAATATTTCCATTAAGTTAGTCGCAAAATAAACTTTCCCTCTAGATGATGATTTATGAACAAATCTATAAACATGAGCTTTCTCAGAGTTTTACTTACTTTCTGGAACTTTTATTTTAAGGCAAGATAGACTAATCATAGATGTATTTATTCTAATATTTGAACTTTGGAAAGGAATACTTTAATCGATGTCCACCTGGTTGCCCACTGTGCTACACCCACACCCACACGCCTACACACCCACACCCCCACACCCACACCCACACTCACACCCTAGGAAATACACAATGCGACCCACACCAATAGCCACAGGTACAGCTACAGCCACACACAGCCACCCACACCCTAGGAAATACACAATGAAACCCACACCAATAGCCACCCCGACACCTACCCACACCCATGCCTGTACCCACATCCACACCCACATCCTTATGCACAAGATATCGAAAAATGACAATTTTTTCATATGCTTGGCAGTAGGGAGCTGCAGGTCCTTCCAGAACCGGACTCGACCCGGTCGAGCCCAGGTCCTGGTTCAAAGGTTTATTTCTTTTGTCGGGTTCGGGTCGGGTTCGAGTCCATAATTTTATTTTTTTTGGATCCGAGTCGGGCTCGGTCCAACCTTTTATTTTTTGTTGGGCCCGGTTACACGTTTTTGTGGACCCGCTGCTCCCCAGATGAAAAATACAGCAACAAGATATAACTGTACGTCGAGTTTTTTTTCTGAGAGTACCGAATTAATAGCTGAAACCTTGATCCTTCACTTGCCTACGTACATGAAGGGTGGCAAGTATTGATGGGAAAACCTCGGATTTGGACCTCACCGAATCCGGATCGGGTTCGAGCCCAAATTTTTAATTTTTTTTCATTTCACGGGTCCACAAAGACGTGGACCCGCAGCTCCCTACTTGGCAGAAACTGCCGAAGTGGGGGCCCTGATGCAGAAATTTTCGGGGTTAGGGTCGGGGTTGGAATCGACACTACGCGGTCAAGATCGGAGTTGCGATTAAAATTATAGGGTCGGGATCGGAATAAACACGTCGAGGCTGAAATGAAGTCTTCCTTTATCATTTTCATCTCTCCAGTTCTGTTTATTTGCACATACAAAAGTTAGAAAAGGTATTAATACCATTCGTCGACAAACTTTTGTCGACAATGTTTCGCCGACAGGACACTTTGTCGACAGCTGCTTCGTCGACAACTATTTGGTCGAAATGAAACTTTGTCAGCAGATCTTTTGTCGAAAATTGTTCATATAGAAAGTATCAACGTTCAAGAGTAAAAACCCTATTGGAGGGTCTGAATCGGTGAGTGCAGGTGAGAGAATGCTGGGTTAATTCGTTCTTGCAACGTTACCTACAAAATATTTTGTATGGGACATGGTGGTAGCGTAGGTAGAAGTGATCTATCATGAAGAGACACGAATCAGCAAGATTGGGCATGTGCATTCCTTACTCATGCGTGGACAAGACTGTGTAGCGGTGGACACCTGTAGATAACTATAAGCATCAGCGGGCACCCGTGTGTGAATGTGGCTGGTCACCACTGAACGAGTGTTGGTAAACATCGGTGGGTGCCAGTGGAGAGTAGTGCCCATAATTGCCGTGCACTTTCGACAGGTAGCCACAGGTACTCATCTTCATTCATCCAGCACTTCCTACTGATGTACACCGATGAGTACAAATACTCAAAGGAAGTTACTCACTCTAGCACATTGATGCTCACCGATGCTATTAAGGGACCACCACTGTCCTCAAATACCTGCCAGCGCCCTCTGATACCCAACACTCTTTAGTCGTCTGTATATACGGATCGGAGTTATTCACGTTCAGTCCCGCTGGATCATGCCTACTTACGGTAAGTCAAGCCGATCTACGCTGACATCCGCACCCGCAGTATATAAGACGGCCAGCTTCACGAGCCCTCTTTCATAGGCAACACGCATTGAGAAACTGATATCAGGGTTGCAGAGTGTGTTGTCGATGAAATACCTGTCGACTAAAAAGTGTCGACGAAATTGGTGGCTGACAAATTGTTTGTCAACCAAAAAAAGTCGACAAAAATTTGTCGACGAAATGAATTCGACAAAATATGTTGTCGACGATATATCTGTTGACAATGTGCCTGTTGACAAAATGTCTGTCGACGAATGATATGCAACTCGTTAGAAAATGTATCTGCTTACAGCCAAATACAAATAGTACCAACTAATAACGACGTACGATAGCAGAACAGAATAAAACAAACAACACACTCTATTCGCTGCCCTTGTCATCATGAATATCCTTGTTTTTATATTTTATTTTCGGTTCCTCCACACGATACATACATCTCACTTGCACTCAGTCATGTATGTGAATGAATTACGTGCGTATAGGTGAAGAGAATGTGTGCATCATGATTTGATTACCATCATTTTTCACACTATAGAGCATCTGTTGTAACTTGCATATCTCTATAAGGAAACTGGTTTTGAAGGTGATATTTTTGGCGTTTTCACATCTCACTTGGGATTACATATAGGCAGTTTCATTGAAATCTGCAATAGCAATTGAGCAGTCTTGGTCGTCCCTATCGTACAATGTCTCTTAAGCGTCTATTCTATAAAAACTGGAAATCACAGCTCTCTACTTATTATCGTTTAACATTTATTCAAAACATATCCTAGTATACTATTTTTACATGCCGATACGAACTATGTGTTTTACTTTACTTAGAACTTATGTTAATTTAGACATAAGACACATATTCAATAAGTACAATAATGGAATCAAAAATGCTACAGAATATAACCGTTTCACAAACCACAACAGATTGTGTGCAAAGTTCAATTTGTCGGACAAAAATAATTGAACAACAAAATTTAGAAAATTTTCAAATCGTTTGGTTGGATGCTAATTTTAATACAACAGATGATAATGTACAAACAATATCCCGACTACGGGCTATTATCAATAGCTTAAAGATGTTTGAGGATGCTATTGACTGTTATGATTACATAGACACAATTAAAGACGAGAAAGTGTTTGTAATTGTATCAGGTTCAATTATGCAAGACTTTTTACCTTCTGTCCCCTATATGCCACAAGTTCAATGGGTTTATATATACTGTTTTGACATTGAAAAACATAAACATTGGAAAATGGAATATGAAATAGTACGTGGCGTGTATACCACTATGAACGATGTTTGTGAGCAATTAAGTAAAGATGCTATCACAAGTTCGCACCAATTCTTATCCATGAACATTATTTCTACACACATAAAAGAAAAAGAAATAAACCAACAAGAAGCTTCATTTATGTACTTTCAATTGTTAACTGAAATCCTGATTGGAATGGAACATGAAGATGATGCAAAAACAAATATGATTGATCACTGTCGATTGCAATATCATGATAATGACAGCGTTTTAAAACACATTGATACGTTTGATAAGACATATAGTCCAAGCAAAGCAATATGGTGGTACACAACACATTGCTTTATATATAAAATCTTGAATAAAGCACTTCGAATTCAAGACATTGACATTCTATTAAAATATCGCTTCTTCTTGACAGATCTTCATAGTCAGATAAAACAATTACATTCAGAGTTTCTTCAATCATTACCAACAAACGATACCAACATTGAACAAAGACGCCTCACTGTGTATCGTGGTCAATCTATAAGCGCACATGATCTTGAAAACATAAAGAATAATCTTGGAGGGCTTTTATCCTTCAATAGTTTTCTGTCAACTAGTACCAACCCAAAAGCCGCGTTAAAGTTCCTTTCAAATCGATCAGATATTCAATCGGTTCTTTTCGAAATAACTGCTGACTATCGCCACCACACAAAACCATTTTCTAATATAAGACAGTTCAGCAATTTCCCTGAAGAAGGCGAAGTTCTCTTCACTATTGCATGTGTATTTCGAATTGAATCAATTCAAAACTTAGACAACAGAGCTTACAAAGTAAGCCTGACAATGACTGGCGAACAAGATGAACAGCTGAAAGAGTTGAGAGAACACTTTCGCATCGAACTGGGTGAAACGTTCGATATGCACACTCTAGGTCAACTTATGATCGATATCGGTAAATACGACCACGCTCACCAATATTTCACACTATCAATTCAAAATAATAACCTGCCACAATCGGCTATCCCAACACATTATAATGGTATTGGACTAGTTTACGATGAAAAAGGTGAATACGATAAAGCATTAGAATATTATGAAAAAGCAATAGAAATTCAGATCAAGTCCTTACCGCCATACCACCCATCATTAGCAACAATGTATGGTAACATTGGATTAGCTTACAACAGAAAAGGTGAATACGATAAAGCATTAGAATATTATGAAAAAGCAATAGAAATTCAGATCAAGTCCTTACCACAATATCATCCATCATTAGCAACTACATATACTAATATTGGATCAGTTTACAATACAAAAAGTGAATACGATAAAGCATTAGAATATTATGAAAAAGCACTAGAAATTAAGGTGAAGTCCTTACCACAATATCATCCATCATTAGCAACTACATATAGTAATATTGGATTAGTTTACCATGGAAAAGGTGAATATGATAAAGCATTAGAATATTATGAAAAAGCAATAGAAATTCAGATCAAGTCCTTATCACAATATCATCCATCATTAGCGACTACATATACTAATATTGGATTAGTTTACCATGAAAAAGGTGAATATGATAAAGCATTAGAATATTATGAAAAAGCAATAGAAATTCAGATCAAGTCCTTACCACAATATCATCCATCATTAGCAACTACATATACTAATATTGGATCAGTTTACAATACAAAAAGTGAATACGATAAAGCATTAGAATATTATGAAAAAGCACTAGAAATTAAGGTGAAGTCCTTACCACAATATCATCCATCATTAGCAACTACATATACTAATATTGGATTAGTTTACCATGAAAAAGGGGAATACGATAAAGCATTAGAATATTATGAAAAAGCAATAGAAATTCAGATCAA